AACCCAGAGGGGATTCACGAACAACTGAGTCGAAGGCTCCTTTAAGGTCAAGGAACACGACAACCGTTGGTCGACGGTGCGTATGGTGTAGCTCAAGGACTTGACGTTGAGTGAAAATTTGATCGATACAACTGCGGCGTGGACAATATCTTGCTTGTTATTGGCGCATATGTCTCCCTAAACGGTGTTAGACGTCAAAGCATGAAGGAGGACGCGTTACGGATGAGACACCGGCTAGCATACAGAAGGCAAACTGAAGACATCGGAGGCGCCGTCGCGACATCCGGTTGTCTATGNCTCCATTGTGACTAGCTTGTCCTCTTTTGTCGCAGATTGTTTCACTGTGGTTTACCGACCTCCCCTATTGTGTATCAGTTGGAACAGTTTTTGACTATTCCCTAATGCAGCTGCTTCTTCCATCTCACTAGTCATCGTTGCCCACCAGTTTTCACGGTCTTTCTTGAGTTGACGTTGTAGACGCCACATAACCCTGCCTTGATCCCGCGCGGTCGGGATTTGCCGCTTTTTCTCCATCGGTGCTACCGACTAATCAGGTATTCAATGCCTCTAACGGGCTATCGCTTCAGATCCGCAAACAACCTTCGCAGCGGAGTGTGTCGGAAGTTGGTGCTGGATAGGAACAGATTATGATCTGCGTAGAACTGAAGCAGTCGATCGCCATTATCTGTTCGTTGGCAGGCAGAGCACAATGACCGCCCAGACAAGCGCTCAGTTTTCTAACTTGGGTGTTAAAATCACCTGCGAGAACAACTATATGGGAGCTTCGGCTCAACCGAATGAGTTCGGTGAGTTTGTCAAAAATGCTCGACCTTTTGTGCGTGAGAACTGCAGTTCTGGACGCCGAAAAACCCTTGGAGCCGCATCACACATAAGCGGCTGTTGACGGGGTTCCAATCGAGTACTGCACGGCATTTTTAAACTCTGGTCACCATATAAACGCACCAATCTTGACGATTTTTAGGAGCCATAATAAACCATCGCTATTATTTGTTTAAAAAACATTTTTGACGTAACTGTTCCCGTGGTATTAATTGTGGCACTTTCATTGTCCCCCTGGCATCATGTGTGGTATGATCTTTATTCCTTCCACCACATTGTTTGAACCCGTTCAGTTTCCATATCAAATTTTGTCGTCTAACTTAACCTTAACTCCTAACCAAATGCAAATCAAGCAACTCGCCATCCGAAATAACTCATTTCAACCCCTACGTTTCTTTGTTTCTCACGATCGAATAAAGTTGCGTTTATGAGTGAATGAGAGCACGCGAAATTGATGGTCAGTATCAATTCTACTCAAACTTTTTTCTTATGTGGATGAATTAGATAAAGGGAAAACGCTGTTTCACAGTGTGATTATGATTTGTGATATACCAATCGTTCTGGTGGAAAGCGTATATAACCTTCATTTTTGAATACATTGCTCACAACTTTGATCAGCACGTGTATTTGTAAGCCGTTACTACCATTACTTACCTGTTTTTTATGAATTCCAAGACACGGTACGCATTTTCATAAACACCTGCTCAAAGCAAACCGACTTATTAATTTTTTAATTGAAACTTGTCTCTAAGTCTTTTTGCTTTTACTATTCATGTGTCTGCTCAGACTGGATTATTCGAATTTTACCGGTGCGTGAATTGCTTCAGTTGTCGATATTCCCTTTTCTCTGAAGGCCCTATTAAACTCCATTTTTGCTCTTTTGAGTGATGTACCCTGCTGGGTTATTTCGCCGCTCGAGTTGTATTACTCATAAGTAGCCATATTTTACAAGAATTTTTTTCGATGGTTTGCAGTTTGGGTGAAAGTAGTCGACCAACTCCATGGACGAGTGGTGCTGTTTCCCTTCTATCCGCGTCTGGAAACGAAACGCAGATGGATAAGATCAATTTTCCCCACCCTGTTGCGGAGGCCTTAGCCCAGCGTGGAAAAGGTGCAGATCACGTCAAACAAATGAAAATGTTAGCGGCTACTGACGGACTTCATGCTCCGTTGCGACTATCCATGGAACAGCGTATCATGAGACGCGTTCAACCTCGTTTACCTGGACTGTATTCGCATCACCCATTGGCGGCTCAACTAGATGGCTCATTAGATGATATCGATGTTGTGGACTTCTTAAATCGTAAGTTTTCGATTTGTTTGTATTGAAGCTATTCTGTGTGATACATGACAGTGCCACTGAACAGCTTTGAAGGGATGTTTTTGCGCATGACTGTATCTCACTAACTCTTAGTTAATCTACTTACTCCCAATGGATTCATCATACACCAAGCTCACAACTAGTTGACGGTTCGCAGTTTGCCGTTCGGCTTCAGGTCACTTACCCGGTCAGGGTGCTATGTAGTATGCAGCTGATATATATATATATATACATATATATATATATATATCAGATTATTCTTATACGGCCAGGCTCACCGGCTAAAGATCACTAACTAGTTATCGACTTGTGACTTTGCGATTTCTCAATATTGCATTCAAGTCATTTCTAACTATCCCGTGATTTTGACAGGCTGTGACGCTTTATCCTTGTCTCTTTTATTTGATATTGAGTGTTATTTCTTATAGTTGAGCCAATCAAGACGTGTTACAGATAGTTTCGGTCAACTTGATTCGGTTTCAATCATACGTAGGGAATCGTTAAATATCCCCACACTATTTTGTATATACATGGGTAGAGGTTTTAAATGGTAATGTTGTATCGTAAACCGTGATACTCAAGCATCAGTTCACTATTCTTGTAATATTGAACTTACTGATTTTATGTCCCACCAAATCCTTTTTTCAAACGTTCGACTCCAACTCCCCTAAATCAGAAGCCAAAACGAAGATAAATGTCGTACTCAAGGCGAGTAACCGCGTTCCGTTTCAAGATGAAACGTGCTCGTTTTTAGAGCGCATAAATCGTCTTTGGGTGTTCTAGAAAATCTGTTGAATAACCTATGTTAGATCGTTCCAGGTTAGGCGTAATCAATAAGATTGAGCCAATTGGTAACCTACGTAGCTGTGTGTACAATCCCGCACACTCCACAATACCTCTGATATGTTCTTCTGATCCTTATTGGTTAATCTCTCTTTCTCTTAATGGACCTTTTCAAGAAAGTTTTAGCTTTTCTGACACCCGAATTCTCTATTTTGACATTGATACTGCTCCCTACATTCCGATCATCTCTCTACACTCCTCCATCGAAATGTACAACCAAAGTCAGCCACACGAAAATGCATGATTGGTGGCAGCATAAACTGAAACTGTATCCACATAAGACCGTTTTAGTATTTCACCGCCCGTACTTATGTATATCTCTGTTTTCTCTGTATTTTTTCACACGTTACATTATTTCTAACTGAAAGTTTGGACCTTGTGTATAAATGGAGCTTTCTTTGTAAGTTGTGACCGGGGCAGTACGTCCGAAAACCTCATGTAAACGGGTTCAGTCTAAGTAAATTTGCCTGCCCATTCACCCGTCTGTTTTGTGGTTTATTCCCATCTTATATTTCGCACTAGCTGGACACTTAATGGATCTCAGAACAATGCATTCCGTTGATGAGTCAGCTAGATAACAGTCCTCTCGCGTCACGTATCGTTATGCGTGACCGTCAGAGATAACGCGCAAGATAGGTGCGGCTGTGTCAATACTCAGCGATGTTGAATTCGGGGCAACAAACTAGGAACGCTCTTTACGCACGAATCTGCTACACTCTAAACACTCGTTGATTGCTGCACTGAACATTGGCTACAAGCAGTTCATTGAACTAGAACATGTGCAGTGTTAGATGAATGTCCCTATTGATCACGTTTTTCAATCTGCCTTTTTCTGTTCTCACTCTCATTTCAGCTCCTGAAGATGCGGAATGTGTCGGTATGCCCCATCTGTTAATGGAAAAACGGTTGGGTATTTTGTGATTGTTTCTCACGGACTGACGTTCGTGACACACCGCATCACTCATGATCAAATCTCGCCACCTTTCTCATTCATTGTACTCTCCCTTTTGAGTGTGTTGAGAATATATTAACACCAGAAGTGAAACCGACGATGTTATCTCTTCTCCTTTGTGGAGTTTTGGAAATTTTGGAGTGTTACCCCACCTCCGTGTCTCAGCAGTCGCTGATTCGGGGCCTTGTTCGTTGAGAATGCGTAACTGTCGCCGTGTCCCGTGTTACCGATGTCATTATGATCGTAGAGTTAAACCGTACATTACCCCCGGGTAACCCATCCAACGCAACTCGAGACTTCCTGATAACGTTTCCGTAGAGTTCCATTTATAAATCATTGAAGTATTGACATCGGCTCAGACTAGCGTATCGCAGGGATATATTTGCTGTATCATCATCATCGTACAACGAAATACCGTGAAGCGAACTTCACTGACTGCTGCCAAACTCATACAAGGTTAGTGGTAAAACTTAAGGTGGACGGCGGTTGGATCTATTTTGAGGAAGGGAGAAAAAGATGAGCCACTGTGGTCAACACACAAAGTACGCAATCGAACTCTGCATACATACCGTTCCAAGCGTTCTGACCTGATAGGAAACGACAACAAGAACGCCACTGCTGCCAGTTCACTGCCATATCCTTCAGTGTCTCCAACCAACCAGTTTTAGAGTCTTTCAGACCCCAACCTGGAAGGCGCGGGACACCTACTCTATCTTGCTGTAAGCTTAATTCAGTTGATAACGCAACAAATCTAAATTGGATTTTCCTTTGAGAAATGAGAGTTTTGATACGTTTGGAACTGGTTTATGTTGTAATATCCTCATTTCACACCTCTCGCTTCTGCCGGAAAAATTCTTAGTTGACTGATGTGATCGTTTATTTTAGCAGCCGTTGAACAGAGAGAAGACAAAGACTCCATATCTAGGCTTTATTCAACATACAAATGGACGACAGGGACTGAAAAAGTAATGAGGAGAAAATTTAGAGGGACGAGCACAAAGTAATGTGAAACAACAAACAAGAGTTTAACATAACATCCACCCCCGCGGATCGTTTTGATCGATATTTTTGTGTATGTCAAAAAATTTTAATAATCCCGATTTCTTAAATTATAGGGTGGGTGTGTTTCTGTGCTTTTACTAATGGATGTATCTCGAGTTCTCCATTTTGTGAATCTGGATTTTAAATGGGGGATAAATTGATACTCTGTGTGTGAGGATGGGGTTGAGAATCGCATTCGGGGATTGAGGATTCATTGGATTCTGGATACATAGTCGTTGGTGACTCGGAGCCTTGAACTTAAGGAGCCAGGTGGTGTACGGATATGGTATCTTCTCGCCCATTTAGGAAACGGATATGGGCGTACTTGGAGTTACACTCGAATAATTCAACTTCGTCAACCAGGGCCTCGGTTTTTGTTAGGGCAGGTCCAGTTGGTATAGAGACTCCTAATGCAGATTTGTGATGATAAGCAAACAATCGCTAGTGACGGGTCGTATTGTTGGCTGTACATAGTAGTGAATGAATAGAGTGGAGAGCTTCCGGAAGAACAAATTTCCACTAAATGCAGGGCATACCTTTCGATTGGGCTGCCAGAACAATGGTCCTCCAAAGGGGCCCGTTTAATCTCTCATCATGTCCGTTGGAGCGAGGATTGTAGGCTGGTGTTCTGCTGGAGACAATGCCGTTATAGTGAAGGAAATTCTTTAGCTCCTCGGACATGGAGGACGCACCTCTATCAGAATGGATGTAGGAAAGCGTACCCTAGATCGAGAATAAATTGGTGAGACACCGGATGAGTAGCAGCTGATAGGTCTGAGTAGGCGTAAGCAAAAGGGAATCGAGAGTACTCATCCACGATGGTCAATAAGTATCGGTTTTGAGATTCTGACGGAAGCGGACCTCTAAACTCAATGTTCAGCCTCTCAGATAGCGCGGTGGCTTTGATCGAATCTCCGGCAGGAAATTTACAGAACTGCGGTTTTTATCTAGCACCGCTTGAGCAGTATTTGATGGCAGGAGGGGAGATTTTTAGTTCAAACAAAATGAAGCATTCGGACGATTTCTGGATGACAGAGTGATGTAGACACTGAGCAGAAGCTACGAGACAATGCGTCAGCCGCCACGTTTTCATGTCCAGGGTGATAAATAACATCGAAGCTTTAGAATGATAGTTTGATCCTCCATCTCTGGATTTTATCATTTTTAATTTTACCGTGGTGTCTCGAATCGAACATAAAGGCAGCCGATTTTTGGTCTGTAATCAGTCTGAAGTGCGTGCCAAGCAAATAGTGTCTCCACTCCCGGATAGCTTCGACGATGGCCTTGGCCTCTTTCTCTACAAAGAAATGATGCCGTTCACTTGAAGATAACGTTCTGGAAGAAAGGTAACCGGTCTGCGGTTCTGTGAGAGGGTAGCCAAAATGGTTACGTCAGACGCATCTGTTTCCACGACTAGTTGTGTCTTCGGGTCGATAGGGGTGATGACTGCGTGTTCCAATTCGCTTTTGAGCGTTTCAAAGGATATTCCGACGTCCTCTGGTAGGGGAAATATGTGATTAGGTACCGAGGAAGGTATTTCGTCCGAAAATCGAGGAATCCAATGGGAGTAATATGAAAATAAGCCGATTGTCCGTCGTTGCGATTTGAGATCTTTGGGAGGTGGAAGTTCTCGGAGTGGTAACAATCGTTCAGAGTCCGATTTCATCCAACCGTGTGAGACTTCATAGCCCAGGAGTTTTACTTCTTTGGTACTAATGATGCATTTCTTCGTTTAGAGTAAGTCCATATTTTCCAGCAGCGTTGAAAACCTTGAATTTTTGCCGTGATCTTTGTTCAGTCCGCATACTGTAATGTTGTCGATGTAGACGAATGAGATTATCGATTGCCCGCTGGAAGCAAGCGACACCATTTGTCACTCCAAAAGGTGTTCGACAGAACTGGTACAGCTTGCCGCAGGCTTCAAAGGCAGTGATTTGCCGATCCTCTGCTTCTATAGCGTTTTGGTGGTATGCAACTCGTAAATCTAAGGCACTTAAGACAGTGTATCGTGATATTTTAGACACCATTTCGTCTATTCGCAGCAGTGGGTATGCGTCCAAAAGCGTGTAGCGATTAATAGATTGACGATAATCGACCACCATGCGTCTCTTGTGCCGCTTATTTATGGTTACAACGACTTGTGCTCGCCAGGGTGAAGTTGAAGTCTCAATGATGCCGTCCTTAAAAAGTCGACAAACATCCGATCGCACAAATTTCTCACCATCAGGAGTGTGGCGGCGTGATTTAGTTGCAATGGGTTTACAATCCCGTGGCAAGTTCCCAAAGACAGATGGCGGTTCGGCGAGTGAAGCAGTTAAGCTAAAAGGAGAAAGAGAGGGTCTGTTACCCCTGAACGGGATTTCAACTGCTTTGTGGAGTTTCAGAAAATCATGTTCCAGTAATAAGTTCGCACACAAATTTGTAGGGACCGAGAGTTTGAAACTATCATATGAATTGTTCCTGAGGTCTATGGCGAATAGGCAGTGGCCTTTCGTGTGGCTAACCAATCTCATGAATGCCATCAAGATTGTGCTAGATGATTACCCGACCTTCAGATGGTGTTGTTTTACGAAAGATTCAGAACTATAATTTGCATAGCTTCCACGGGGATCCTATTTACGTCGATTTTTGCCAGTGCGTTGGAAACAAGCCGGAGCGTAAGCAGAGATTGTGGCTAAGAGCGCAAGCATAATAGCCGAAGTTGACCGTTTCTCCAGGAGCGATCTGCAGACCCGTTTGAAATTTCTTTTCGTCTTACAGTTACTGCAAACTGCATCCTTAGCTGGGCATTTGAAACCAGGGTGTCTATCGTTTCCGCAAAAATAGCAGTTTGTTTTCACCGCGGCCGACATTTGAGATCGTAAGAGGGATTTTCGCTTGGTTCAGATGAACCTGAGGCTGCTACTGTATACGACATTAGTGGTGTCTAAAAAGCATTTGACCGTTGCTGTGCCGTTTCAAGTGATCTAGCTAGTTCTGAGGTGGTCGGTATTTCCAGACATCTGTTTTCAAGAAGACGCTGTCGCACAACGCTTGACTGCATCCCGGTTATGAGGGCGTCACGCCTGATTTTTTCCGACGTTCAGGCCTTGAATTTACAATCTTTGGCTGATAGAATTGATCGAAATTTTGCCCTGGTTCCTGTTTGCACGTGGTCAGTAGATACCGGGCGAACACCTCATTTGGCGGTTTGATAAACAGCTTTTTCAGGATTTTCACAGTATCGCAGTACGATGTGCAATCCGCAATATAATGATAGATACTTGGAGAAATCTAATTGTACAGAAAATCCATTTTTTCGGGATCCTCAAACCCAATTTTAGTAAGAACTCTGTCCAAGGTAAAAAATCAGAAAATTTAGAAGGACGAGTACAGAAACAACAAATAAGAGTTTAACATAACACTGAATGAGTATCACAATGCTTGGCTTACACAAGTCGTGTAGCAGCCGGTGTCAGATGCAGTCTCTGTGCTTATCTTGCAACGTGTGTAGTTGTTCCCATATGTGTTGGAAACCGTTACATCGAAGAAAGTTGTGTTCCAGTGCATAGCCGGTTTGAATGGCACGACCTTTGAATTCCTATTGTGCTGTTCTACTCACTATGTGTGCTTTATAGATACCAATGGAGCATTTTTTTCATCTCTATGAAGACTCCGGTGATAAAATACATGATCGGCATTGAAAGTAGGTTTGAGAAGCTACTGTTAGCCGCAGAGGAAAAAGCTAATGGGAAAATTTCAGCACTGGAAGAGAAAATAACTGCCCTGATCTCCCAGCGAACCCAATCCAGCGACCAACTAAGCGTCCAGGGTGCTGTTTAATCAGCACCGTCCCAACACAGTGCATACCCCCCGCTGATATAAATATGGCTGCTATAGTAACGATTGATACGGTGACAGTTCCTGAGCAGAAAAAGATCGTCCAACG